ATTTATTTATCTATTTTTTTTGGACGAGGGGAGGAGCTGAATAGTAACATAGTTGTAGTTGCAACTTGCGCTTTAGCATTTTCTTAAGAATTATAGATCTTATTGCCGTCACTTTATCAGTAGGTTTTGCCCGAAAGGGGAAAAAATTTTGTTAGCAGAACATTGCAGTAAGCAATTTGTTCAAGCTATTAGTACTTAAGCATTAGGAATTGAGATGGAGGGTTAAACTATCATTGAAAGCAAATGACGGCTTATTTGCTATACTATCTGTTTTCACTTTTTGTCTTGAACCTAGAGTTTAAAAGAATAGTGGGTGAAGACGTATGAATTAATGGAGATAAATATGAAGGGAAAACTTAAAATGGGGAGCGAGTTGGATTTTTTGCCTTTGTAATAGATTTGTGGTGTTGCATTAGCATGGCTTTGAAATAACAGCATTTTTTTATCTGTTTAAAAATCTGGAAGTTTTTGTTCAATTTTTAAAACAGTTTTGTTCGTTAACATTTTTAAAATTTAATAATTTTATTTTGTTTGTTGACGAGTACGTTAGCCAAAAAAAAAAAAAAAGCTGCAAAGTGTAAATGATTAAAAATAATGTTCGTGGTGATGCAGCTTCGTAGGGGTTTGAAGTCTCTGATGTTTTGCAAAAAACTACTGTAATAGGCGATAGGAACTTTATTTTGTCGTCATCAAGTAATTATTTTGTGCTTAATGTGCGCCAATTAATCTGGTATTTGTTTTCAACCGAGCTGGTTTCGACTGCGAGCAGTGCTGAGCTGTTTTAATATGTTCAATCCAGGTTTTTGAATGCGATTTTAGGCTTCTCGTTCAGGTCTTTTTCGATTTTCGTTGTCTGTAAACGTCTTGGCGCTCTAGTCAATGCTTTTTTTTAAAATCTAAATCTCAGTATGTATACTAAAGGTCTTTGTTACTTAACTGGCAAAAGTATTATTTTCCATTCTTTCATTAAGTGGTTTTTCATTTGCATTTTGTGCAAATAAAAACGTTTAAGTGCTTTCTGCTTGTCGACAAGGAATTTTATCAGGCGACGAACTGGTGCATAATTTAATACTTCTCTTATTGAACGGCGGATTTACGATCATCGAATTTGATTTTCAAAGGCTACTTGTATGTTCAACTGTCGCTTGTTCTCCATGTTTTGTGTCAGAAATGTAAAGGCAATGAGTTGTTGCAGTTGAAGTAAATTATGTTTGCCTTGTACAAATGAAGGTTTTGAATTTGCATGATGCAGTTTTGTCGGTTGTTCTACTGATGGAACTTTGTCGAGGTGGAAAAAAAAAGTTTGAAATAGAAACCTCTGAACTCTTCATGCATTTCAGTAATTAATTTCGAATGCTTTCTGGACGTTGCTTCTACCTTAAAAAATTTGTTGGGTTAAAATACCTGAAACTTGTTACGTTTGACTCCTGAAATCGGTACATTTACCGTTTCATCTCCACTGCCAGTAAATAGCTTTCCAGTAGTGTTTGTCGTCAAAGCTAACCATTATGTTCAGTAGAAAAGAAGTTTTTTAAATTTACGACGCAAAAACATGTCTATGGTAAACACGTTTTTTATGGGTAGTGCTTGTTAGTTGCTGTTTTTACACTGCATATTGTTGCTAACCATGTCTTGATAAGATTATGATAAAAGGGAAAAAGTGTTATTTTTTGCATACTTTTATCTTTATTAAAGGCGTATAGGTCACAAAATTTTCCACATTTTAGCTTCTCGTAAAGCATTTCTCAGTTGTATTTGTACTGCTTTTTTCTGCTAGCTAAATTAATTCATGTGACTCTGGGTTTATGCCTTTTTTAAAATGTTTCTTTGACTGTATGGGTGTCAGTTGAATGTCAAAGGATTACGGTTAAATTGCTTTTTTTTTATAGTGGGATTTGTTTTATCACACAGAAAGGGAATTTTTTTTGGAAAAGATAATTGGATATTTTTGCTCATTTCCTATTTTATTTCTAAATATTTAGCCGCTTATTTGGGGGAGCTTTTTTGCTTTGTAACCGACTGAATTACTGTTGCAAAAAGGGTTTTTCTGGGAAATTTTGAAGGTTTTAGGAAGTAGGCTTCAACTGTTTGATTGGGAACGCGTGAAACGTTAGTCTGAAGACGTATTGGTTGTAAAACGATATCGCGTTGCATATAGAACGATATCATTCGGCTTTTTTTTCTTTTTTGAGTTATTTTTTTGGCTTTAATTGCTGTAATCGACAGTCTGAATTTCTTCCTCTTAATTCTGATTTCGGGGAATGTAGGTAGCAAGTTTAAGAGTTTAGGAAACCTACGGCTTTTTTTTTTT